AGGCGAATAAAACAGGCGGGCGGGCGGGCGGTTGTGTCGTTCCTGCCGCGGGGGGCGCAGAGCAGAGGCGCCGCGGGACCCCGCGCAGATGGAGCCCGGCGGTGTGTCGGTGTCGGCCGTGCTGCCGGCGGGCGGGAGCGGGGAGCGCCTGGGAGGCGCCACTCCCAAGCAGTTCTGCGCCGTGCAGGGGAGGCCGCTCGTCAGCTACGCAGTGCGGGCCATGGAGAGGTAACGAGGCGGCGCCGCCCGGCTCCCCGACCGCGCCCCGCCGGCCCCAGCCGGCCCTCGCCCTGCCCCGGTCCCTGGAGAGCCGCCGGCAGTCGCGTTGCCCTCGCCGCAGGCCCTGGGCGGGTCTGGTTTGCGCTGTGGTGTCTCCTCATCCCTCCCCGCCCGGTTAGACTGTGCAGGGAGCAACAGCGGGGCAGGGAACAAGGTGTGACTGGCCCGCTCATCTGGGCACAGGTACCAGGCGGGACCTGGGCGCTTCCCCCAGCACAGCCTGGCCCCCGGACCGCCATCCCGGGCGGCTCTGCTCTCCCCCCACAGCCCTGCCCGTGCCTCGAAGCTGTGGTACATTCCATGGATGCCGGAGATCGCGGGTTCGAGGCCTCTTCAGCCTCGAAGCTCGAGGGTTGCTGTGGCTGCAGTGGCGGGTTTGGTGAGCTGCGAGCCTACCACAGTTGCTGGAGACAGTCATAATGCTACTTATCAGCCTTGAGAAAAGATCTGTGCTGCCCCAGCCGTTGGAGATGGTCCTTATAGTAGTGTCCAGAGGCCTCTAAAAAAGATCCACTCCTCATGGTGAGGTGAATGCACTCAGTGGTGTATAGCACCGCATTGTGCTTCGCTGCTGGCCATGGTAAAACACCTTGCATCGGCAGGAGGCTTAAAGCAAAAAGGTTCGTTTAAGTCGTAGTTGCTGGACTGGAAGCATATGTAGGATGAAGCTGCACATGTAACTTTTCTATGGCTATGTTGTAGCGATAGGACGAGGAATAAGACGTACAGATTGAAAGGTGAAATTTAGGTTAGATATTAGGAATAAATTTGTCATTCTTAAGGTGGTGAACAGGTTGCCCAGGGAGGTTGTGGATGCTCCAGCCCTGGCAGTGCTCAAGGCCAGCTTGGATGCGGCCTTGAGCCACCTAGTCTAGTGGGAGGTGTCCCTGGCCATGGCAGAGGGGTTGGGACTAAATGATCTTTAAGGTTCCATCCAATCCTTAACATTCTGTGATTCTGTGTTGGAGCAAAGGATTCAAGTAATGGGATCTATTAGCAGCCAGGGTTTTTTCCTTTTCATAAGACCGTTGAGTTCTAGGCATGTGACTGACAGTTAATATATTACTGTCAAACGTTAATATAATATAAGTCTTTTATGTAGTGTCATGTGAAACACAGTAGGTAGGAGTGTGTTCTGGATGTGTTGCAGTAACTTTAGGAAAACAAACCTTTAGATTTTTAGAGAGGATAAATGGGAAGGAGTGGAGATTGAGAGATGCTGGCAATTTCATGTCTTGCACCAAAGTTCTGAACTCATGGAAACTTGTAGAACATCAAAATTGTGACTCTTTTTCCATTCCCACCCAGAGAGGCTTCCCTCAGGCCACTTGTTACTTTATGAAAGAAATATTTCTTATTTATTTAATTTTCAACAGCAGCCAGTCACAAAGGTAAGCATATCAGTAAGCAAAACCTCCGATCCAAAGCTTGCCACAGCTGTAATTTCTGCCAAAATGTCATGAGAATCTACAGAGAAGAATAATATCCTCACTCACTGTATTGGAGACCTGGAAACGAGAACAGTGAGGTTTGGGAAGGAAATTATATTCATAGGAAAATAAAGCATTATTCATCTAAAAACCCCTTTATATTTACTGCCAGTAAGCTCTGAGAAAATAGCTGCATTTTGAGCAACAAAATTATATTTATGTCCTAAAGCTGCAAAAAATTAGAAGGTTGAATTCTAATTGTACGGTCCAACCAAGCTGATTGTGAGAGTAACAACTTGGTGCTTTTGCTTAGTAGTGCAATAACCGCTGCCAGGGCTTTGACAGGCAGAGCTTCCTGCTGTCTCTACTGAGCTGGAGTGTTCAGAAGACTGTTGACTGGTATAGATGTGTATGAAGAGCTGGGAACCCATGTACTCCAAAACTTGGAATGGCTTTCGCTTTCATCTCAACACTTTCACTTCCGACTTTGAAACTACAAAGGATGTACCTTTTTCTTGCTTTGTGAGACTGTAAGAGCAAAAATGTGATACTGAGGAACTGCAGTTGCATAATCTGTCACCCAGAAGTGGCAGGTTTTGTGTTTAGCTTGATACTATCTTCTGATGTCTGTTGTTGACCTGATGTATTGAATGAATCATTGACCTCTTAGCCTGTAATAATTTCTGTTGAACTGATTACCTCAGCTAATGTGGCTATTTTTAAGCTTTTTTAAATCTGGAATAAAGGTAGTAATATATAGACAAATACATGAGCAGTTCAAGGATGTGCAGCTGCTTTGCATGTGCTTTTTAAAGGCTGGTAGAAAACATCTTTATGCTATTCAGCTGAAAGGAGTGAGAATCTTAAATATTGATGTGGAAAAATGTGCAGATGAGACAAGAGCAACCATGAATGAATAAGCAGTGCATCCTGTTGCATAGAATGATAGCATGTAGAACACTGGCCTGCCAATAATAATCATAGATGATGCCCTTAGGAGAGGAGGTGAGCGAAACTAGTTCTTTTTGTCCAGTTATCATTAGCTTATTCTTGAAATAGCTTATGAGCTAAAAATAATGATAGCAATCTTTATGAACATATCTTTGTTATTTTGTCTGACTCATAAGGAGCATTTTATTTCTGGAAAAAATGAATGGCTTCTGTACATAAGATCCTCCAAACCTCCTTAATATACCAGACTTAAAAGCTTCCTGCTTCCATTTTTGTACTGTAAAAATACAGGTTTTCATATACCAATAAAATCATAACAAAGCTGCTATGGAGCAAAAGGAAGTTATGCTTGCATTCTGCAAATGCATGTTGTTCTTGATAGTTCTTTTTCTAATTTGGTGTTTGAATAATAAGACCAGCAAAAGTGATATAATGATTAATCTTGCACCTCTGAAGAGTTTCTGTGGCAATGAAAGATCCTGTATAACACTGCTAAAGGTGTCTCAGCAGTGACTGCCTGCTTCTTGCCTTATTTTGCTGATTTTGGTATGTTGTATTGAATAGTTTGTTACTGGCAGAATGAGAGTTGCAAGAGATTGAGTCTGAGCATTTAAGCCTGATGTCAGATTTCAGGCTTAGCACTGGTTGTATGTGAGTGAACTGACGGAGGGTTAAACCTCAATCACATCGGTACCTCAGGATGCCATTTAGGTGATACAGTTTCAAAGTGGTTTTGTTTAATTTCTTCTGCAGCTTGTGTTGAGAAGTCATGTAATAACTTTATCTGCTGCTGAGTTAATGAGCTCCTTTACTTTGAATTCTAGATGGACTAATATAAATGTTTGTACTTTTTTTTTGAAACTTAATGAAATAATACTATTTTCCAGCAGGCAGTAGGTCTGTTTGTAGGTGATGACGAGTAGTTGTAGGAAACAAACATACAGTACTTTTCTGCCTCATTGCTTTCCTTCTGCCAGTATTTAGGTCTTCTTAAAGCAGTTGTAAAGTGATTATAACTGGAGTTGTTATGTTTCATCTGGTCAGACCTGATTTTCCACTTTAGAACTACAGCCTATGTTGTATGGAAGCACTAGAGTTCTGTATTGTTTAAGCAGATTGGGGTACAGTATTACGATCTTTTACATGCACTGTGCTGATTCTTGCTGAAACTTGTGTTATCTTGATCTAATATTACAGTTATAAAATTGAAATGGTGTTTTTAAATTGGATTTGAGCAGGTCCTGAGCTACTTATTATTTTAGTGTGAAATCTTTCTGAAGAAAATGATATGACAAATTGAGGGAGGAAAAAAAGATTCATTTACTGACAGATTGAGTGTATACTGGTAACTTTCTACTTCATTAAAACATTTGCAACATTTCCATAAGCAGATCTTTAAAAGAGCAAGCACCTGTGCGGTGCACTGTTCTTATTCATTAAATTTGTAGCGTACTTTACTGGATTAGTACTTTTCATGAGTTTAGGTGGGACAAAAACCTAAGCTGTTCTGGTACGTAATCAGGCTAGAGCATGACTTTATACTCTCATATGAATAGGTTACATCCCTAAATCCCAGGTCTAATTGTAGAATATGAGTCTGGAATGAATTTAGGGAGGACATACTCAAGTTTACAAATGTGTTTATGCAGACACAGGGTGGAGCTGTGACCGCATCCTGTCACTTTTTGTATATTGTACCCCACTGGAGACCTTGAGCCATTCCACCCACCCTGTGCAGAGATTTATCATAGGCTGGCCAGTACTTGTGCTCTCTTCCCTTCTTCTTGGAAGATGCTGTGTGCTACCCAGTTGCCTCATAATCTGTTTCATTTAACTGCACAAAAGGAAATGTCAGTGCTTTTCTTATGCAGAGCTAGTGAATGTGCAGAATGTCCACTGTTTCTGGGTACTGTGTAAGGCTATAGTTGTTCTGCAAATAGAAGTGCAGAACTTGTTCTCATTCAGTGCGAAATAGCTCTTCTTGAATTTTGCTTTATTTAAATGACTGACTCTTGATATTCAAAAGAACTGAGATGAATCCAGTTACTTTGCCCTAGTTCTAAGTTTGTCATGCAGAGATGCTAAGTTTTGTGGCTAAATGTAAGATTATGCCAGAACTAATTTCAGAGGTTTTTAAAACCTTTTGATGAACCTGTGGTGAGTGACAAGTTGAAATGAAACTTGAAACCATATGGTTAAGATTTTACATTTGAACAACTTATACTTCAAAAGTGCTGAGAATATGTTGGTTTGGCTGTATTTTCTGCCTTTGTTAATAATAAAATGAACACAAGGACAAATATTTTTCTTTTGTAAAATGCTAATAGCACTTCCATTCATTTTATTTTTAATAGTTATTTTTAAATTAATTGAAATAGTTTTCCATGGAGTTTTATCAGTTGCAAAAAAAAAAACAAAAAACCAACCCATACTAAGGTGGAAGATGTTCTATTGTTTCTCATAGCTCTAGGGAACTTGTTTGTATTACAGATGACTGTTCTTTTGGAGTAAGGATAGTTTCTAGGCAATGCTTTCTCATGTGTTATTGCAGAAACCAGAATCTTCAGCCTGTGTAGTTCTGAACTGTAAATTTCTTACACTTATTTTTTTAACTGGAAATATTTAGTACATTTATTCTTGTTTTGTCTGCAAAATTAGTTTCAATAGCTTTACTAGTTTTACTTGAGAGACCATATAATACTTATCTCTCTCTCTAGTTGGATATGTAGGTAATTTTAACATAGTAAGTTTTTTTTTTTTAATCATTGCTCGTCTGATGAGTTTCTTGTCTGACATGCTAAGAAACTCTTCTGCCATTTGTGGAGACACTTTTTTCTAATGTTTTGTACATAACATTTAGAAAATAGGACACTAAAATGGATTTGAATTGTGGTGTTCCATTTTTTTTGAAGAACAGTATGCATGTGTGACTTGAATTTGTATTCCTAGGTCCTTTGACACAAGTATGACTTTAGCTTTGCTTCCGTTATGACTCTTTTTTGTCTTGTGGTTTGTGGGTCATTGTCCACCCCCCCGACGCCCCATCTATTGTACACCTAGGCAGATAACAATAGTAACAGCTTGAAGTTCTCTAAAAATATGCTTTTGATGTTATTGTAATCTTACCTAGCACAGCTATGTTTTTACATTTTTCTGGCTTCCTAGAGTACTAGAGCAGAAACGTTTGTGTGTATATTTTTTTTTCCAAACTACCAGTATAATATTTCCTGTCAATATTCAAGTGTTACAGTATCATGAATTCATTAGGAATCTGTCAATTACTACTCATGATTGTCTTTATAGTGAACTTAGTTTCAGAATTTTTCTTCATCCTCTTATTTTTTTGGAACATGGAGTATTCTACGTCCCAGGATTTACCAATTTGTTGGAAACTGATTAATAAACTGTAACTGATTGATTTTGAAATTCCGTTTGAAGCTAGGAATGAGGCTGGAGTAAGAAATGCTTTGAAGGCTTTTGGAAGGGTTATCAGAAGGTGCCCCTCTGCAAAGTGGCTGTTGGAAGCAAGTCCATTCCCAGAACTCCTGTTTTGTTGGTTGGTATCCATGTATTGGTAGAAATCCTCTGTAATATCTCTCCCATTAGGACTGCATTATGAAAACATGGACTTGAGTATACTGAGAGATGCTTTATTTAGCCATCTTGAATTTTTGTTATGAGTTTCTTTGTTTCACATATCTCTACTTTTATTTAGTAATTCATATCTACTTTCTGTGATTTTGTACTATTTTTTCTAGGATAAGTTGGATATCTGACATTATTGTGGTGGTCTCTCCTGAAAATATTGAAACAATGAAGACTATCATTGAAAAATATGGCCACAAAAGAGTTACAGTAGTAGAAGGTGGAATAAGTCGTCACCGGTCAATTTTCAATGGACTGAAAGTATTTGCAGAGAAGGAATTTTCCAGCCATCTGCTCCAGAAACCAGAAGTAGTGATTATCCATGATGCTGTGAGGCCATTTGTAGAAGAAGATATTCTTTCAAAAGTGGTTATGGCTGCTAAAGAACATGGGGTATGTACTATACAGCAGTGCGACTCTGCAATGTGCTTTTTACATGTAAAACCAGCGTAAAATCATGACTGATAAATGAGGAATTTTCTAGCAATTGTATTAATGTGTGATTTTTTTTTTAAGGAGAACAGATCCAGAATTCCTATTAAGCAGAGAGGTCAGGTGGAGGAGGTTGACATTTTTAAATGCTGCAGGCGTTATTTGTTACAGGGAATAATTATTGCCATAGAGACTGTCAGTAAGAGATTGAATTAATCAGCAATTTGTTAGTTGAAAGGTAGATTGCATAATGATAGTTTACCTTTTTTTCCATACAGACTTATCACCTAATGCTAGAGCAGTTCTGTTAGTGATTTCTAATAATAGCCAAAGACTGTACGTACTGCATTGGTTGACTCTCAAACTTTGTGTTTTCATCTCAAACTTATATGCAAACCCTGAAGAAGCAGCAAGAGAGCTATCTCTGTAGTAATGCTGAATTGATCTAGAACTTGTAAGCATTACAAACTGCTGGGAAACAAGGGAAGTGGGAAGTCTCTAACCATAGGTTGGATATTCTCCTGTTCATCACTGCGTCTGGGGACTGGGATTATTCACAGGAACCAGGAGGATTTCTCAGAAAGTAAGTGATATGTGAAGGGGAAGAGTTGGTAGAAGTTGTATTATGCAAGTAGAAGGATAGGAAAGGCATTTACTAGCAGCAAGAACTGTTGGATAAACTGGCTAAGTCAGAGATGTGAGAAATCATGACTTAGCCACAGACTTGTTTGTATGATTTGTTATCCTCACTTTGTCCTTGAATTCTCCATTAATAAGATAGCATAATGCTTCCCTGCTTCAAGGAGATGGTTTGAAGTAGAAGCCGTTAGTGACAGCAGATTGCTTGGGTACTAGAAATCTAGGAAAATGTACCACTCCTTATCTTTTCCAGAAAATGTGGTAGAAGATAAGCTAATTGACAGGTGATTCACAGCTTTGACAGTTGAATAATGAGTCCAAAGAATGAACTGTAGTATTTCCTTAGTGCTCCTACACAATTTTTTTGAAACCTCCTAGTGTGAAAGGGGAATGTATGGCTTGTTAAAATATTTATTATGAAAATCAAATTATGTAAGGTCTCTCAGAACATTGTTAGAAATCTAAATATATTGAGCCTCTTACAAGTAGGCCTGTACTTTTGTAGATAGGCTTATTAAGAAATGGTAATAAAATAGAAACTCTACTCTCTAATTGTCAGTGATCCAGAACATAAGTTTCCAGTCATTAAAACTTAAATTCTGTTAGAATTTTAACAAGGTTTTTGACCTTTCTCATGTAGCACAAAATAGCATTCCAGAATTGATTCTCTGCTAGAGACTTTAAAATCAATCCTCTTTGTAAATCAGTTTTAAATGTGATTATTTGAGAGTGGTAGAAGAATGGAGTTAATTGTACTGATGTTGAGTTGAAATGACAATAACTTTCCTGAATGTGTTTTTGTTTAGGTGTCTTGCTTGTTAAGGTATATCATGTCTCATTTGAATTTGTGTTTAAGTTTTTTAACTTGTTCACTTTTTTCTTGAAACTTTTGTGATTTCAATGTAATATTTTCTTCTGGTTTTCTTTTTAATTGGATGTAAGGCATTTTCAGTAAAACAGTAGGGAACCAAGGCAATCTCCATTGACCTTCTCAAGTCAGTGTACTGTAGTTTATCTGAACTTCTGACTGGTAAATATTTCCTTACCTGGATCACTGAAGTATCATTTGGTCTCAAAAAGGTGATCTTGTACATGTGCCATTGTATTTCTGTCTGAAATGTGTATGGTATTTATTTATGGAAATGGACCCCAAGAGCTGTGCACTGTTGATGTTACCTGACAAAGTATTTGAGTTAAGGAACATAAGAAGAACTTTATTTTATGTAATGAATTGGAAAGGCTTTCTCCCAGAGACAGGTGGCTGCCTTCACTTGACAGCTGCAGAATTCTGAAGAGCTAAATGGAAAACTATGACTCTTTCTCAAAACTAATATGCATGGCTTTGAGTATCAGGAAAAAATGGATTGAGAGAAGCTATCATCTGTAGTTCTTCCTATGGTCAGATTCTTTGTATATCTGAAGGGGAGTCAGTTTTTCAATCTTTCAGTACAAAAAGTAATTACTTCCTTTTGCATAATATAGAAAGGTAGAAAACCTGGCAGAAACATCATATTAAATCACTTGTGTTAAGGGTAATGCTGTATTGTTATTCATCTGCATACCATATAGATAGCATAATTATGAGAAGCTTTAATGTTCTTTAAAATGGCAATTGATCAAGTAAGTTATTGCACTGCTAGCTGCCAATTGTCAGACAAATAAACTGCTTAATTACACTTACTAATCTGTTTGTTATTTGCCTGTAGGAATCAAAATGTGCACCTTAACCAGAACTAATAAATTATGCCTTAAATACCTCAAACAATTCCTTGATTATGTGAAAATATTATTTTGTAACCAATTAAGTTCCATTTATGTTTTTGGAGTAATTTTGCAATTAAAATTACATGTTTCTAGACACAAATTCTTTATTGCTAGTAAAAGTTGGGAAAAGTGGAAGCTTCAGAAGGCATGAGTCCAAAGCCTCTAGCAATATCTCATTGCCAACATTGCATTTTAAACAACATAACTAAAAAGAAAAATGCTTACAAGAAAAAAAATCAGGAAGGCGGGGGGGAACTTGTCAGTTCTGCTATGGAGAATTTAAAGAAAGAAGGCACATACAGTCAAAGACTTTCTTTGTCTAGTTAACATAAACTAGATTTGAAAGTATAGTTTATTATTTCAAAAGGACTAAGTCAAAATGGCACTCTTAAAAGCTAGTTTCTGGAAGCTGTCTAACATCGTTACTTTATTGTAAGCTTTAGCAAGGATATGAACAAAGCTTACATGCCAATACAGCTGTACAGTGGTACTCAGTCTCATGGACTCTCACATAGGCAGTCAGTCAAAATAATACCCCCAGACAGAAAACACTGCACATTATGCTCAGCCTGTTCCTGCCAGTGCTGCCATTATCAGTCTCACTGCAGCGGGAGGCTAGAGCAGGAGACACGCACTCCTGTGGATGCTGTTCTTTTCAGCCACTTACAGAAGACATTTTATTTTGCTGTCTATGATTGTTGAGTTACAATACTCAAAATTGAAAAACACCTGTTTTTCTCCACTGAAGTTGAAGGAGGACTTGGGTGGATAAATAAGATGATCTGGTTGGTGCACTTGAATGGGGATGGAATGCTGGAGCAGTTCTGCCCGTTTTGACCTTTCTTTGTACTTCTTCTGTTGAAAGTGATTGTCTTTTTATGTTTTCTTATTCCCTTTGGTTTTGTCGTATATAGAATATTGTAAACATTGTCCTTGTTTTCTTTGTTATACTCAAAGATTGATTTTATCCAGCTGCAAAGACTGCATCATATTTATACCCTGGGTCATCTGAAGTCATCCACTGCCTATGTTCTCAGAAGTTATACTTCCATTGTATGCTTGGTGCTTTGGGAGGCTCCTGCTGTCCTGTCAGACCCTTGTGCAAAAACAGAATCAAGAACTGAAGAGACTACAATTACCATCTTGACGTGATTTTTATTTCACTGGTGGAATGAGTTCTGCAGTTTAGGAGACTGACTGACGTCAATGTAAAAATACTTACTAGTGAATAGTAGGGATTATGAAGCAATTTTAGAATAAAACATTTTAAGACCTACATGCTCTTAGCTATGGTAAAGCTCATGGAGGACAGAGAGGTGATTTGAGAAAGCTGTCATGGCTTCACCAAGGGCCGATCCTGCCTAACCAACCTAGGGGGCTTCTATGGTGGAGTGACTATACCAGTGGACAAGAGAAGAGCTATGGGTGTTGCCTGTCTGGTCTTCTCTAAGGCCTTTGAGACAGTCCTTCACAATATCCTTCTCTCTAAATTGGAGAGAGAAGGATTTGATGGATGGACTGTTCAGTGGATGAGGAATTGCTTGGTTGGTTGCATCCAGAGGGTTATGGTTAACAGCTCAACATCCAAGTGGAGAGTGGTGACAAGTGGTATCCCTCAGGGGTCTGTATTGGCACCAATACTCTTTAATACCTTCATCATTGACACAGACAGTGAGATCAAGTGCGCTCTCAGCAAATTTAGAGATGACAGCAAGGTGAGTGGTGCAGTTGACATGCCTGAGGGGTGGGATGTCACACAGAGGGACCTGGACAAGTTTGAGAAGTGGGCCTTTGTGAACACTGACATTCAACATGGCCAAGTGCAAGGTCCTGCACCTCAACTGTGACAGTCCCTGGTATCAATACAGGCTCTGGGAAAAAGGGATTGAGAGAACCCTTCGGAAAAGGACTTGGGGGTACTTGTGGGTATTGTCAGCTGGCCCTGAGCTGACAATATGCACTTGGAGCCAGGAGAGGTGTGGCCAGCAGGTCGAAGGAGGTGATTATGCCCCTCTACTTCAATCTCATGAGATCCCACCTGGAGTACTACATCCAGCACTGGGGCCCTCAGCACAAGAAAGACATGGACCTGTTGAAGTGGGTCCAGTAGAGGGCCACAAAAATGATCAGATGAACACCTCTCATATGAAGAAAGGCTGAGAGAGCTGGGGTCATTTAGCCTGGACAAGAGAAAGCTCTGGGGAGACCTTATTGTGGCCTTTTGATACCTACAGGGTGCTCATTTACAAGATGGTGATAAACTTTTAAACGGGGTCTATTGAAATAGGAGAAGTAGTAATGATTTTAAACTAAAAAAGGGTAGATTCAGACTAGATATAGAAATTTTTTACAATGGCAGTGGTGAAACAATGGAACAGGTTTCCCAAAGAGATGGGAAACGCCCCGTTGCTAGAAACGTTTAGGGTCAGGTTGGACAGGGCTCTGAGCAACCTGATGTTGTTGAAGGTGTCCCTGCTCATTGCAGTAGGATTGGACTACCTGATCCTTAAAGGTCCCTTCCAACCCAAACTGTTCTATGATTCTACATTATTGTGAAG